GTGATTATAGCGCCTCCCGATGGTGAATGCGGTTATACTCACGGCAGGTATTATTTGATAATTCAGTCGTTTATTTCACTGATTTGGCAACCGTCAAACGTCATCAGGGAAACGGTTTGAATTTCCGCTTATTAAAATAAACATTAGTGTGCCATTTGGGACGACACTACATGCATATACTATCCTGTTAAATGTGTAAGTGCATAAGTACATAGTGCATGAGTGCATAAGTATGCGATTTGGGACGCAGCTAGTGTCTTTTTCTGTTGTAATCAAAAGCGAAACACTTTTACTGACATCAATAACAGGAATGAAATACTACAAAAGTCAATAGTTACAGGTTTCAGCATTCTTCTAAATATCTTCTTTTGTGTTCATTGGAAGAAAGAAACTCATAGAGGTTTGGAACAAAGCATGGCAAAGTATCAAAGTTTGTTGGAACGTTACAGAAATGGCACACTCTCTATGCTAATGAGGGAAAGATGGTCACTAGTGGGCGGGGCTTTCCCCCTCTGATGACACGTACAAAAGGTAGAATGTCAATCAAAGTGTTTCTGCAGACTGTTTTCATCAAGTCTGATTATAAACAATACAATAATATGCTGTTTGACAATAGTAAACAATTGTTTACTATTAGAAGCTGCTTTTATTCACACACTGCTGACACACCACTGTGTTTAATCCCCTTATAAAAGTGATTTTTGCACAATAGGTTCACTTTAAATGTACACGAATTAACAACACACATAAAAATAGACTCTGTGGCATCAGCACTGACACCATTATATCAAATTTGAGGATTCCAGCTGAATCCACAGCAGACACGCCATAATCCCATGCGTACGTTCACTCACCTGGTTATCAAATTTGAGTGACTGTGTGCCCACTAGAAACCTGATGGCATCTGTCTCAGCTGTCTGAGCTGTCAGAGCTCGAGCCTGCAAACCACAGCCCATGCATTAATGATACACATACACACACACACACACACACACACACACACACACACACACACACACACACACACACACACACACACACACACACACACACACGCACACACACACACACACACACACACACACACACATATATATGACACAAAATGGCTGTCAAATTTCCGGATATCATAGGTGGGTTGGTTCATTAACATATTTTCTGTCTAAAAGTAGGTTCACACAAAAAAAGTAAACAGTACACTGTAAAGTTGACTCTTACTCTAACTTAAGTTAACCTTAAAGGCAGCACGGTGGCTCAGTGGTTAGCACTGTCGCTTCACGGCAAGAAGATCGCTGGTTTGAGTCCCAACTGGGTCAGTTGGCAATTCTGTGTGGAGTTTGCATGTTCTTCCCGTTTTGGCGTGGGTTTCCTTTGGGTGCTCTGGTTTCCCCCACAGTCCAAACACATGCGCTATAGGGGAATTGTATAAACTGGATCGGCTGTAGTGTATGAGTGTGAATGCACGTGTGTATGGATGTTTCCTAATTCTGGGTTTCGGATGGAAAGGTATGCGCTGCATAGAACATATTCCGGAATAGTTGGCGGTTCATTCCGCTGTGGCGTCCCCTTTTAAATAAGGGACTAGGCCGAAGGAAAATGAATGAATAAAGTTGACCTTATAAGGCAACTTATTGTAGAGCTTTTTGATTTAACTCAACTTAAATTGACTGAACAGCAGTAAAAAAAAGTTAAAAGATATGTCAACTCAACAAAGCCCTGAAATTTTAAGTTGAGTCAACTTTTATGTTTTTTTACTGTTACATTGCAATCTAAACAAGCAGCTCACTAAATAACAAAAACTGCTGCTTATTTTGTTCATTAAAAGTAAACAAATTGTGTATATATATATACTGTAGTCTAAGTAAATAAATAATTTAAATAAACTATATTGATGTGTGGAAGGCGACGCAGTGGCGCAGTATGTAGTGCTGTCGCCTCACAGCAGGAAGGTCGCTGGTTCGAGCCTCGGCTGGGTCAGTTGGAGTTTCTGTGTGGAGTTTGCATGTTCTCCCAGCGTTCGCAGTGGGTTTCCTCCGGGTGCTCTGGTTTCCCCCACAGTCCAAAGACATGCACTACAGGTGAATTGGCTAATTTGTCCATAGTGTATGAGTGTGAATGAGTGTGTATGGATGTTTCGCAGAGATGGGTTGCAACTGGAAGGGCATCCACTGCGTAAATCCATATGCTGGATAAGTTGGCGGTTCATTCTGCTGTGGCGACCCCAGATTAATAAAGGGACTACGCCGACAAGAAAATGAATGATGTGTGGGTTGCTGAACTGATGTAAAAATCAGCTTGTTATGTATGACGTCACGCAAAGTAGCTTGGGATCTATCAAACTGTACAAAACGCTCAACAACTGGTACTTATAAATGTTAAGAAATCGATTTTTAAAAAATTGTGATCGCAATATTTTTTACAGTTGAAGTCAGAATTATTCGCCCCCCTTTGATTTTTATTTTCTTTTTTAATTATTTCCCAAATGATGTTTAACAGATTCAGGAATTTTTCACACTATGTCTGATAACATTTTTTCTTCTGGAGAAAGTCTTATTTGTTTTATTTCGGCTAGAATGAAAGCAGTTTTGAATTTTTTAAACCATTTAAAGGACAAAATTATTAGCCCCCTTTCAGCTAATTTTGTTGTCAATTGTCTACAGAAAAAAACATTGTTATACAGTAACTTGCCTAATTACCCAAACCTGCCTAGTTAATCTAATTAACCTAGCTAAGCCTTTAAATGTCTCTTTAAGCTGTATAGAAGAATATCTAGTCTAGTTTACTGTCATCATGGCAACAGAAATGCCAACTGACCCAGCTGGGGCTCGAACCAGGGTCGTCTATATATACATATATATGGGCGGCACGGTGCAACATTAGTGCTGTCCGTCGCCCCAAAGCAAGAAGGTCGCTGTTTCAAGCCCCGGCTGGGTCAGTTGGCATTTCTGTGTGGAGTGTGCATGTTCTCCCTGTGTTGGCGTGGGTTTCCTCCAGGTGCTCCGGTTTCCCCCACAGTCCAAACACATGCGCTACAGGTGAAATCATGAACTAAATTGACCATAGTGTATTGTGTGTGAATGGGAGTGTCCCAGTACTGGGTTGCAGCTGGAAGGCCATCTGCTGCTTAAAACATATGCTGGATAAGTTGGCGGTTCATTCCGCTATGCCGACCCCTCATTAATAAAAGGACTAAGCCAAAAAAAATGAATGAATATAGATAGATAGATAGATAGATAGATAGATAGATAGATAGATAGATAGATAGATAGATAGATAGATAGATAGATAGATAGATGGATGGATGGATGGATGGATGGATGGATGGATGGATGGATGGATGGATGGATGGATGGAGGGATAGATAGATAGATAGATAGATAGATAGATAGATAGATAGATAGATAGATAGATAGATAGATAGAGAGATAGATAGATAGATAGATAGATAGATAGATAGATAGATAGATAGATAGATAGATAGATATTTTTGGCACTATTGACATTTAATATTTATGTACACACACACACACACACACACACACACACACACACACACACACAAATACACCGCAATATAATGTAGTATATGCACTATACAATATAATTGAATGTAATGGTAATAACAGTAGGTAGGTGATATGATAAACATACATTGAGTGTTATTAAAACGAAACATATATCTCTATATTTATAATATAGGTACTAAAACATGCTTAATAACCATCTGATATGAAACTTGAAATAATAAAGCAGATTTAAAAAGCCATTGTATTTATATGAGGCTACTGTGTGCAAGAATATAAAGACAAATTATGAAGCCATTCAGTAACGTTACCTGAAACTCCAGGCCATAAATAACCGGTGCATCATCCTCCATCTTGTTTACCATTCAAGTATTTATATATCATGAAATTCAGAGATAAACATTCTCCTCTTTATCAAATACTAATAACACGTACAGCAGTTCCGCGAGAGTAAAAATGATGAGTACGCAAACAGCGCACGACAACTTACGTAATGCGCTTGGGTACGTAGTCAAGCTTTAGCGTAAGTTTGTTCGTGAATCCGCAGCGGGGATGTTTGTCACCTTTCGTACACCGTAGGGATCGTTTCTACGCTAGTGCGCATGCGTTTGTTTACACCGCTGTCATCTCAGCGTTCATTTAACTGAAGGTAAAATCATTTTTTTAATGTTTTAGTAAAGTACTGTTTCTGTGTAAAGACTGTGAAGGTCTTCAAAATGCCGTTCAGTCATTGAATTTAGTGTGAATTCATGTTGTCGTCACAGAGCTCTGTAGATATGCTAGCCTAATCATATTTGACTATGGCTTCTTCAGTATGTTTGTATTTCTGTTTAGCTCTGAGATGAATATGAGGATGATGAACCTCTGTTTTGTGTTGGTTAGAGACAAAGAAAGGGTTTCAGATATTTAAAATAGAGTTTATTTGTCATATCTTAGGTTTGCTTTATTTTATTTCATGCTAAATAGGCTAAATATATAAAGGAGAATTTTTGAATGCACTTAAATTTAACTGCACTTAACTGTATTTGTATAATACTTTAAAGCTTAAAATCATATGTTTAATACTGCACTCCTAATGAAACACATCATTGTAAATATTGTATTGCATTTCGCAATTATTATTCATTCATTCATTTATTTTCTTGCTGGCTTAGTCCCTTTATTAATCCGGGGTCGCCACCGCGGAATGAACCGCCAACTATAGAGGTAAAGTTGGTTTTATATTCGCATATTCGTTCATTTAGAAGTCTATAAATTGTTTACCATGTTACTTTGAATATTCGATCGGAATTAGCATGCAAACATGACTTGAAAACAACGTTAACAATGTATTTTGACTGGGAACAATGTTGTACTTTGAAAGTCATTGGCTGCTAATATGATTTAGCTGTTTAGAGCTTGCAAATAATACTTTTCTGAAATTATATTATTAAAAGAAAAGTCAGAATGTGCGAATATAAAACCAACTTTACCTTTATCCGCCAACTTATCCAGCATGTGTTTTTACGCAGCAGATGCCCTTCCAGCTGCACCCCATCTCTGGGAAACACCCATACACTCTCATTCACACACATACACTATCAACAGTTTTAGCCTACCCAATTCACCTGAACCGCATGTCTTAGGACTGTGGGGAAACCGGAGCACCCGGAGTGCTCATGAAGCAGTGTTTCGAAAGCAATCATCACAAAACAATGTTGACTTTTTTTTTCGTAATAAAGGTACACTGTATGTTACAGCATGTATTTCTTTGTCACAAGGGCATTTAGTGAGCTTAAAGACTGCGTAAAATCAAAATGTACAATATTTATTGTGCAAGCTCTCATTGTTATATATTTTAGGATCAAATTTTTATTAAACAGGTTGAAAAATCTTGCACACATACAGACAAGAATAACAACCAACTGCAATTTCTATTAATACCCCACCCCTGGCGAAAAATGATAAATAATAAACAAATAAAAGGAAATAAATCAGAGCCAGAAATAAGAAGAGAGAGCAAAAATTAAATAAATAAATAAAAAACACAACAATTACTGAAGTAAATGAATTTACTTTTGCATTTAACTTCTCACAAGAACACTTTTAGGTATGGTAGGTGCATTGGACTTTCACACATATGTAAATAAAATGGAAAAAAAATCACAATAACATATGTTTTATCTTCACATTATTATTTGTTAAGTGAATAACTAATCCGTGCAAGTTAATCCACTGGAATAAAAAACTTGTTTAGGTAATCTTCAATCAAAATTGACCATTTACTTCTGCGTTTTGAGCTGGTCCTTCTTTTGACGTCAACCTGAAGATTTCAATAGCAACTGTTTAGTAATATTCTTAACCACGCCCCTCTTACTGTTACTGGAATGATTTGCACAGCAAAGCTCCGCCCCCTACTCAATATTCAGTTTCAGTTATAAACACATCAGCACACTGAAATAAAAGTCTCACCCGCCTCTGGTCTTTAATTGAAGTGATCGGTTTTATTTGCACCTGATGTACTGACCTGTGTGTGCTTTAATTGGGAATCTCAGGGAACACTCAGGCTGGACTCATGGACAGCAGCGAAGGTCCAGCTCAGAGGCCCATCACTCTGGATATAGATGCAGGCATTGAGACCCCCGAGACCTCTGTCCCACCCCAGAACGACCTAACAGAAGCTTCATTTCGAGAGGAGAGCATCGATTTGAATGCAGAAAACTTTGCTTCACCGCAGGACGACAGCATTCACTCTGAGAGCCTCATGGACAAGCTGAACGACCAGATGATGGAGAGCGTGATGATTTCAGACTCGCCCAACAGCGAGGAAGAGGACGCGGTTCCTATTGACTCGCTTTTAGGTAGGCTCAATTTGTCTTGTTGTGTTTAAAAGCTTTAATTGCGATTTATGGTACTATCACGATATTGATCTAAAGGCTCGTTTACACTTGGTGGTACAGTATGGTACAATATTGTTCGGTACGGGTCACCTTTATCAGGCTTGTGTCTCTACTGCCCAATGACACCCTTCTGGCAGGCGTGGTGTTCGACAGAAAGCTGCAGTCGACGTCATTCTCGCTTGAGTTTCACATATCATATGTGCAGCACTTCTTACTAAACAAATGCTTTAAATAAATAAATACTTATGTATATGTTTATTACTAACCTTTCTATGAACATGATTTGATTATAACTGCAGATCAATGAAATAGCCTACTGTAACCTGTACTGTAACCTCTTCGATTATAGAAAATAAATAAATAAAACGTATATGAACACATTCAGAGTCTCTGAAATGTTACCGATTACAAATAAAAATACTTAAAACATACATTTAGGCCTTATTTGGGTTCATAAACGATATGAAACATATACAGTCAGTACAAACCTCTCATTTTTAAAGTGCTTTCACACCTGCCTTATTTAGTTGGGTTGAATCGCACTTGACTTCGTTTTCTTTCTTGGTGCGGTTCGTTTGGGCAGGTGTGAATGTAGCGATCGTACTCGAGTGAGCACCAAAAGCGGACCAAAAAATCGTACCGAGACTTTCTTGAAGAGGTGTTCTCAGTACGCTTTCAAACAAACTCTGGAGCGTTTCGTTTGTGGTGCACTGTAAACCCTAATGTTGTCTTTACTTAAACAATTAAGTAAAGCCGACTGAACATAACTTAAAATTTAGCATTTTGGTTCTATCACTTAAAAATATGAGTATGAGTTAATTTAACGTATTTACCATGAAAACGCATAAACTTAAGATTCCAAGTGTAGTGAGCTCAAAATCATAATCAATCCTTTGAAAAACATAGGTCATTTTCACAAATGTAGTCATGACTGTAAAATTCTAATATGTGCAATCTTTTAAGTGCAAGGTCTTTTTTTAAATCAGAAAACAAATGGCTTAAGGTATATTAATGATAAAATAATAATAATAATAATAATAATATAATAATAATAATGATATAATATGAATAAATGACTACTTATTTTTTGTTGAAAATTTATTCATAGTATATTATTACACACGCATGCACACACATGCATATATATATATATATATATATATATATATATATATATATATATATATATATATATATATATATATGTGTGTGTGTGTGTGTGTGTG